TTTCCAGATAAGCAGAAACTAAGGGAATTTGTTAAAACCAGACCAACCTTACAAGACATCCTAAAGGGAGTCCTTTGATCAGAGAACTGAAAATACCATGGCTTGGGTGTACTATAGTCTTCAAAGTGACGTCATTGCTCTTCAACACTTTAAAGAGGTCCTTTGCAGCAGTTTTTTCCCAGTGCAATAAAGGTCTGATTTCTTAACTACTGCTTCCATGAGTATTGATTGTAGATCCAAGTAAACTGAAATCTTTGGCAACTTCAATCTTTTCTCCATTTATCGTGATGCTGCTTATTGGTCCAGTTGTGAGGGTTTTCATTTTCTTTATGTCAAGGTGTAATCCATACTGCAGACTGTAATCTTTAACCTTCATCAGTAAGTGCTTCATGTCATCTCCACTTTCAGCAAGCAAGGTTGTGTCATCTGTATATCGCAGATTGTTGATGACTTTTTCCGATGCCATGTTGTTCTTCAGATAATCCAACTCCACAAATTAATTGCTTAGCACACAGATTGAGTAAGTATGAAGAAAGGATACAGTCCTGATGCACACCCTCCCTGATTCTAAGCCATGCAGTATCCCCTTGTTCCATTCGAATGACAGCCTCCTGGTCTATGTGCAGGTTCCTCATGAGGACAATTAAGTGTTCTGGAATTCCTGCTCTTTGCAACGTTATCCATAATTTGTTATGACCTACACAGTCAAATGCTTTTGCATAGTAAGTAAACACAAGTAAATATTTTTCTGGTATTCTTTGCTTTCAGCCAAGATCCATCTGACATTGGCAATGATATCCCTCATGCCATGTCCTCTTCTGAATCCAGCTTGCATTTCTGGAAGTTCCCTGTCAATATACTGCAACCATTTTTAAATTATCTTCAGCAAAATTTTACTTGTATGTGATATTAATGATATTGTTCGATAATTTCCACATTCTGTGGAATCACCTTTCTTTGGAATGGGTACAAATATGGATCTCTTCCAGTCAGTTGGCCAGGTAGCTGTCTTCCATATTACTTGGCATAGACAGGTAAGTGCCTCCAGCACTGCATCTGTTTGTTAAAACATTTCAATGAGTATTCCATCAATTCCTGGAGCCTTGTTTTTCACCTATTCCTTCAGCATAGCTTGGACTTCTTCCTTCAGTACCATTAGTTCTTGATCATATGTCACCTCCTGAAATAGTTGAACATTGACCAGTTCTTTTTTGTGCAGTGACTGTGTGTATTCCTTTTATCTTTTGATGCTTCCTGCATCATTCAATATTTTGCCTACAGAATCCTTAATTACTTCAACTCAAGGCTTGAATTTTTCTTCTGTTCTTTCAGCCTGAGAAATGCTGAGCGTGTTCTTCCCTTTTGGTTTTGTAACTCCAGGTCTTTGCACATTTCATTATAGTAATTGACTTTGTCTTCTCTAGCTGCTCTTTGAAATCTCCTGTTCAACTCTTTTATCTTGTCATTTCTTCCATTTGCTTTAGCTACTCTCCTTTCAGAGCAAGTTTCAGAGTCTCTCCTGACATCCATTTTAGTCTTTTCTTCTTTTCCTGCAGAAGGCTGGTGGTTCAAACCCACCAGCCAATCCCCAGAAGGAAGATTGGGCAATCTACTTCCATAGTGAATACTGCCTCAGAAACTCAAGGAGGGGTCACTATGAATTGGATCCAACTCAATGACAGTGAGTTTGGTTTGGTTTTGGCTTTCTTCATGGATGATGTTCTTGATGTCATTCCACAATTTGTCTGGTTTTTGGTCATTGGTGTTCAAAGCATCAAATCTATTCTTAGGTGGTTTCTAAATTCAGGTGGGATTTAATCGTTGTCATACTTTGGCTCTCATTAACTTGTTTTAACTGTCTTTAGCTTCAGTTTGGACTTGTGTATGTATGAGCAATTGATGGTCTATTCCACAGTCAATTCCTGGCCTTGTTTTGGCTGAAGATACTGAGCTTCTCCATCACCTCTTTCCACAGATGTACTCCATCTGATTCCCTCTGGAGAGGCCCACATGTATAGATGCTGTTTATGTTGTTGACAAAAGATATTTGCAGTGAATAAGTTGTTGGTCTTGCAAAATTCTATCATGCAATCTCCCACATCATTTCTATCACCAAGGCCATATTTTCCAGCTACCAGTGATTTTTCTTTTTCCAACATTTGTATTCCAGTCAACAATAATCATCAATACATCTTGATTGCATGTTTTGGTCAATTTCAGACTGTAGAAGTTGGTGAAAATTTTCAATTTCTTCATCTTTGGCTTTAGTGGTTGGTGTGTAAATTTGAATAATAATAGTATTAACTGGTCTTCCTTGTAGGCATATGGCTATTATCCTATCACTGACAGAATTGTGCTGCAGGATTCATCTTGAGACATTCTTTGTAATGATTCCACTCCTCTTCAATTTATCATTCTCTGCATAGTAGATCATATGATTGTCTGATTCAAAATGACCAGTACCACTCCGTTTCACTAATGCCTAGCATATCAATATTTATGCATTCCATTTCATTTTTGACTACTTCAAATTTTCCTAGATTCATACTTCATACATTCCATGTTCCATTCGTTAATGGATGCTTGCAGCTGTTTCTTCCCATTTTGAGTCATGCCCCATCAGCATGTGAAGGTACTGAAAGTTTTACTCCATCCATGTCATTAAGGTCACCTCTACTTTGAGGAAGCATCTCTTCCCCAGTCATATTTTAAATGCCTTCTGACTTGAGGGGCTCATCGTCTGGCACTAAATTAGACAATGTATCAGAGCTATTCATAAAATTTTCCAATAATACATCAGGCAGTCCTTCACTGCTATTCATAAGGTTTTCACTGACCAATTCTTTTGAGAAGTGGATGGCCCCTTTTTTCTTCCAAATCTGTCTTACTCTGGAAGCTCTGCTGAAACCTGTCCACCATGGATGACTCTGCTGGTATTTGAAATACTGGTGGCATAGTCTCATAGCAGCACACAAGCCATAACTGTATGACAAACTGACAGATGAGTGGTGGAGCACTACTTACAAAAAAACCAAACTCACTGCCATGGAGTCGATTCTGACTCATAGCAT